AACCCGCCAGATTCCTCTGGGAAGTCCAAAAGCAGGACAAGAAGGCAAAAACCTCTCTTCACCATTGCCCCTCCCCTAGTAAGAGGTGTCTGCTGCCTCTGGACATGAAGGATGCATTTAGTCATCACTACTAACAGCTGTTGAAAGACCTTTTCTCAGGAAAGGGAGAAAAGGTTATCTACTTTCTCTGCATCCTTAATGTCCCCCCCCCCAAATTCTCTGCCATTTCTAAGCTAAAACATAGGTGGAGAGAATGCTGGTGGAAGAGGGTATTAAGGAAGATGAACGGCTTGTGGCCTCAGCACATGGAACAGCACAAGGACTTAAGACCTATCTGGATCAGACCAGCCATGTTGGGGGAATACTCTTCTAAGCAATAGTAAAGAGAGTCTCCCTGCATCCATAGGCAGCACTGACTGTGAAGACACTTCTCCACCAGATGACTAGGTACTGACAAGCAGTTTCTGTTTTTACATCACTGCCGAGAAACTGTAAAAGTGGGAGCAGAGAGAATGACAGCGTGAATCCATCTAATGTACCTTTCCCATTTTAGACTTTGGCAGGGATACTTTATAAAGTATTTGTGTTCCAAAGGGGCCTCATTGGAACCTCCCCCCAAGGTGATCCAACCTGACCCTGTATAATGCGGTGCTTCAGAGATAAGGTGTCTGTTTGGATACTGTTGGTCTCCATGTCTGGGGCCTTTGAAAAGCTGAGATTCTTAGATCGTTGGGACATCTGAAAATGAGAAGAACAAACACCTAAGTCTTTCTGTTGGGATTATCTATATACCTATGTACACTCTACTGACACAGTGTGGTTGGTTAAACCTCCAGTCTGGTGTAGTAGTTAAGAGCGGCAGACTCTAATCTGGAGAACTGGGTTTGATTCCCCAGTCCTTCACATGAAGCCAGCTGGGTGACCTTGGGTCAGTCACAGTTCTCTCAAGAGCTCTTTCAGCCCCACCCACCACACTGGTGTCTGTTGTGGGGAAAGGAAGGGAAGGAGAATGTATACTGCTCTGAGACTCCAAGTGCAGGGCGGGGTATAAATCCAACTCTCCTCCTCCTTCTCCTCCTCCTCCATTGCATGCCTCCATCTTTTCTGTCCCTCCCCAAACCCCACCCTCCTTAGGATCTACCCCCTAAATCTCCAGGTATTTCCCAACTCTGAGTTGGCAATCCTAGCGGCACTTGATATGGGAACCCTACCCATATCAAATCACGGTACATTATTGTAAGCTGCCTTAAATCGAGAAGAAAGGTGGGATTTAAATGTTCTAACAACTAAATAAACTATTTTGGAATCTACTTGTTTGCCCTAAAAGGATTCATTCAATTCCCTTATGCCCCTGCGATGCTACTGGCACTGCTTGCCCACTAACAGCATACAATAAAAAGCCTTTGATTGCAGAAATCACTGTAGAGCCTTGTAAGTCTCAAGGAAGCCTTCCCCCTCTACCAACCTTAAGTACCTGACACTGACAGTGCCAATTTCCCCAGCCTCACAACATAAATGAAAAGGATAAGCGTGGTACAGCACCAAAACCATCCACCAGCCAACGATGGTTTGATTAGACATGACATGCCAGCCACGCCAATCTTACCTTCCTATTAGAAATGACTCAATGAAAGGGGTGCCAGGCAACACTAAGAGGATCCTGAGCCAGACAAAATGACTAGAGTAACAATGCTTTACAACTTGACCTTTACTTGAGTCACAGAGCACCCTGGGTACAAAACCTGGCATTATTAGGTTGCCCTGGGCCCTCCAACAAACCTGTCCTCTACCACACATCCAGCCATGCTGCTTTGAGCTCTTCACAAAATGGTTACTCCAAAACTGCAGAGGGGTTGCCTGGATACATTTCAGGACACAAACTGAGTAACATCCATATATCTGACTTTTACTTTAACTGAAGGCTTGGTGCCTCTTGGGCTTAGCATTCAGTCCGCAAAGTCTTGCAGACTGATGCTCCCTGGGGCTGAACATTCCAGAGGAGAGCCTTCTTCAAAGGTTGGTTCTCCATACGGTAGGACTGCCAACCTCCAGGTGGGGCCTGGAGAACTCACAGAATGACAACTGATCTGCAGGCTACAGATATCAGTTGGTCCCTTGGATAAAAATGGCTGCTTTGGACTCTATGGGATTCTACTGTGCTGAGATCACTTCCTTACCTAAACCCTGCCCTCTCCCCAGGCTGTCCCCCCAAATCTCCAGGATTTGGCAACCCAACAGGAACCAAGCTCCAAGAATCTTGGGGACTGTAGTAAGAGTACACAACAGAGGTCTATTCTACATGGCAACTGCTGTTATAATGGAGAAAGGAAGACAGAAAGGGTTCAGAAGTGGTTGGAAACTCTACTCTGATGGAAGTGGCTGTTCCTCTGGTGGAAGAGCTACATCTGGAGGGGGAAGGTTCCATGGGCTGGAGGAAGACTTCCAGCTTGGCTGAGCAGAGCGGTAGGATACAAGTCACTGTTTTAAGTAGAATGTGAATGTGAATCAGTAAATGCCCTTGGCTAATCAAGTAGTCAGTGCTGTAATATATAAGGTTATGAGGACTGAAAAGAGACAGTATTTGTAATTTCCTTTTTTTAAAAGTTTTTATTGCTTTTTAAACATTATTCATACTACATAGGAATTCTACTTATCTGTCCTAAAATTAAACAAGCCTCGTTTGTCTACATAAAATTTTACAAAGCATAGTCACGTTTCTGCAGTAAAAAAAAAAAATAAGCAGGTCTCGATAATAAAGATTTTACCCCTTTCTGTTAAATATTCTACTACAGCGGTGGTAGGCAAACTGCGGCTCTAGAGCCACATGTGGCTCTTTGGCCCCTTGAGTGTGGCTCTTCCACTGTAGGCGCTGACGGCCTATTCCCTCCATTGTTCTCTATGGTAACTTTTTTCCTACCATAGAGAACAATGGAGGGGATGGGGCAACCTGTTTGGGGGCCTGTAGAATTGGACCCCCTGGTTCAATGTTCCTGAAACATGGTGGGTATCTTGGGGAGAGGCTCCAGCAGCTACCCTGCGATTCTGGAGCCTCTCCCTCAAACCCCCTCCCCTCCAGCCCCCAGAATACACCCTATGTTTTCACCATTGACTTCAATGGCCCATAGGATATAATGGGGCCGAACTGTGGGAAGCCCCAGCAGCCCTCAGGCTGGAGCACCTGGAGCAGTCTTGGGAGGTGAATTGGCAAAAAGCAAAACCAAAAACACAGGAACTCG